TACAATGAAGTAAATGTATTCGTAAGTACCATATATATATATCACTTACCATGACTTTCCCAAGTTGATAAACCATTTCGTGCCTTGCTTATGGAATGTCAGGCACCCAAAGCCCCTCGGAGTTCAGCCGAGCTTTGGGAGCCCAAACGTGAGGCGCGTTGTAAGACTTAAGGGCCCAAAATCATCAAAGCTGTAGAAAAACAGAGATATATACAGTAGAACAAAGATATAGAACAAAGATATAGAACAAAGATATAGAACAAAGATATAGAACAAAGATATAGAACAAAGATATAGAACAATATGTTGCAAAATGATGAACATGAGGCTTTCTAGACCTTGAGTCTGGAAGGCGGGTGAAAAATCCACAAAGATGTAGGATTAGAGACTCCAAGTCCCGCCGTTGAACTAAACTGTCAGTTTTGTGAACAAAGCAAGGTTGCAGGTGCACCTTAGGTTACACTGTTACCAAATTGCACCTATTATGACTGCTGTGGATGATGGTCCACCTTCACGTTTGGCGCATTCGTTTGGAATGTGTTTTTAATGGTATCTTCCGGCTGTCAGGAACCCACTGTCGAATTTTGCTGTAATACCAAGAGTATCTCGATGCCCTTCCGGGCGGCGCTTCGCAGGTGAATGGCAAAAAGAAGGACGAGCCCAAGGTGCACTATGGATTTTTGTGGGTGATTGGCAACTCAGATTGAGTTCCGCTGTTCCATCGTGGCCGCCTACGGATCATGGGGTCTCTCAAGATCATTGATACCCTGAAGAAATGTATGGTTTACTGCTCAAAAAGCTGCCAAAATTATTGCCGATGGTTTTCCTTGTTTCTGTCAGCCACAGTAGCCACAGCAGCAATGTTTTATAAAGTGTTAGATCCTTAGCCAGGTTTAAGGATTCCTCCAGATAGCCTTGCCTTGGATTCTTCGGTGGCTTCTTTCGTTCACCTTTATCATACGCAGCCAGGCAGCCAAGCAGGCCAAACCAAGAAAACCGCCAGAGGCGTCTGCGGGTTGATAGTTGACTCAGTTGACGTAGCACGTGGCTGGGTTGACAGTTGGGCATGTTGGGGTATGATGCCAAAGGATTTTTCCTCCAAACTTGATATGTTCGTATTGAAATATCCAAAATGATCCAAAATGACAATTTGTGTGGGTCCAACCAGCTGCCACTTCGTTGAACCAGTTGTTCTATGAAGATGGCCTGAACTAAGCTGTTTGTTTCAGAAGGATTGAAACTGGAATCAGAAAGCAGAATGAAGAGACAGTTACTAGTTCCTGTTGATAGAATGTTACCAATCACATGTAGGGCTTTGATTGTATGCGGATGGTGGAGGATTAAAATCGTTGACACGAAGGAGACGAAGGAGACAAAGATCCTTCCGTTGTCACAATGGAGACGTTGGTTTGCGATATGTTTGTAGTTTTGGCAGCGAACATATCACGAAATGGTTTTCTTGCATTTCAAATCGCTGAGTGCAACCAATGTAACCAATGTGTTTTCAAATTGTTTGTGTTGTGATTTCAATTGGCGCCCCTGAAAACCTTAAGATCAGCCTTCCAACTGATCCGAGCAGGCAGAGAAAAAGTCGAGTTCAGGTGGGCCTGTGTTAGAGTTTGTGCCCTCAAGGGTGATACACGGTTTACCTTCTTTATCCTTCATAGATTTCATAGGGATCAAGCAACTAAGTCTCATTAAGTCTCTAAGTTTGAATAAGATCGGTTTCAGATAGGTTTGAGAATGATCATGTTGAACCTTGAACACTGAAAGCATGGAAGAAAGAAATGGAACAGAGAATGTTCTGTGTTGACTTGCACTTGCACCTGATCGATGAGGCGCCGAAAGGTATGCCACAAAGGAGAGCACAGTTGCCGCCCCAAACTTGCCATAATTGCATATATATATATATATATACTGCTGGAAGAAAATGGCGATTGTTCAAATGAACCAAAAATGAGCCGTGAGTGGTTTCTTGGAAAACAGGTGCCCGTTGCTACCCCTGCATCTCTCAAGTCTGGGATCTGTCAGATTGAGGGCTGGCAAAGCCTTTTGCCGTTGCTCTCACAGAGCAAGGCCTCTACATCATTTGGATATGTTTGGATATGTTTGGACCTCCTGCAGGTCGCCGATCCTTGCTGGAACTGGCTACGAACTGGCTACGAACTGGCTGTATGGTTGGAAACCCGTTCAGAATCACATCGATGATTATTTCCCAAGTTCCAACATGTTCCAACCATCTTGACGTAGGAATCTTCCCATGATATTGCAGCAAAAACTAGCTGCTCTGGAAGCGTCACAATCGTCCAACGATGTGCCTAACCGGCAGGAGGACCGAAAGGTGGACATGGAGCTACTTCCAGTCAGAAACTCAGTGCATCCAGTTCTATGATTCTTAGATATTCTTAGCCATTTCATCCCAACAGATTTCCATGGTCGCAAGTCAGGCTCTCACGCGACTTTGCGTAGCCAATGGGTGGCAGTGAGGGCGCATGAGGGGTGGCTGAAAGGGCCCTGTTCCATGAAAGTTTGAATGGATATGGAATCAGGTGAAAAAGACTCATATTTATATTATATATTTACCATTTGAGCATTGGACCATGTCTCCGTCCCTCATTGTACAATCATGGTTTGTGAAGTGCCTGCAAAGATCAGTGAAGTCAATGCATATCAATGCTATGTTTTGGCATATCTTGGAGGGGATTCCATGGGATTCCAATGTGCGTCGGCCAAGTAATGAGTTGCGATATGTTGCGATTGAGCCACGTCACGTCATGCTACGTCGGAGCCTCCCTTTTTGCCGGCGACCCTTACGGGATCACCAGCTGGTTGCCCAGGGCAGGAGACATCAGCAGACACATGAAGAGTTTGTTAGTTTGTTATAGTTATAGTCATAGTTATACTTATTATAGTTTGATAATGTTTGTTACTTTGGTGCATATCCCATGCAAATCCAAAGTGATGTAGTTAAAGAATGTTGAAGAGAGTGGCAATACATGCCGTTGAATTGTCTTGGTGTCTTGAATTATCTTGAATTTCTACTGATATCATTGAGACCATTTGATCAGTGCGACTTTCTACATCTTTCTACCGGATTTCAGATGGGTCCACCACACATGACCTCGCGAACCCCATAGGGCCAGTGTTCGCTGCGAGTGTCTCTACCCTTGGTGGGCCTGTAGTTAGCGGAACGACTCTCAAAGCAAAACGACCGGAGCTTACTGGCTCGACATAGCCCCAAGATTGGTTGAGATGATACTGCGATTACTGGATGCAACCAGCATGTACAGGTTCATCAAGGACATAGGGCTTCTGTAGAATTGCATTGAATCCCAATCGCTCTTTGAGAATCAGTCTCTTCTCTTTCTTGAAGAGCAGATAATGAGCTCATTGGATACCCCCTAGCTCCGCGAAAGTGAATTTCAAATACATGGATGCCACAGGCCGTGAAAGCCTGGGAAAAGAAATGTTTGCATCCACATCTGCGTACTAGATCTCTATAGATCTCTATAGATCTCTATAGATCTCTATAGATCTCTAAAGACTCTATATTTTGCGTTTGAGTTTGTTGCTTCATTGGCAGATTTGATATGATTTGATCTTTCCACTCCTCCATGACATCTGAGAAATGTCTTGCAGCCACCATGACGCCAAACCTCAGCAAGACATACAGACATGGGTCAAAACTGGTTGCCCCAAGAAGCAGTTTGATCGATTTGATCCGTAGCTTCCAAGGGTTTTTTCTTGATGACAGCCATGACAGCCATTCATGATGGTATATCTATAATATTCTATAATAATTATTCTATAATACTCTTTCTGCCTGAGAGATCTTCCGGTAGTCATCGGTAGTCAACGTAGCACGCAGATAATGTCTTCCACTAGCCGTGCTGTTGCTGTGAACCCAAATTGCTGTCATCATATGTCATCCCATTTCTACCGTTTGATGCCTTAATATGGAATGCTAAACAGATGATAGTGAAATATATTGAATTAAGTGAATCAGCCAGTATGCTGTTGACAGGAGAGAGTTGCTGGAATTGCTGGGTTCAAATGCCAAGTTTCCAGGGCATCGCTGAACGTAGCGGTGCACACGTGGACGCACGTGGATCCTGGTAGACGTCAGATCCTAAGAGTGACCGGCCAGTCTCTGGGTCTCTGAGCTCATGTTTCATCATGTTTCCCCATGTTTCCCCACAACTTTTTTGTTGTTTCATGTGATTCACATGTGAAACCTGTCTGCGTGGTTTCTTTGAAACGGTCCATGTGTCTCAAGGACAAAAAAAGGTAACGCAATCCAAATTGGAACTTTCGTTGGTTTTGTCATTGTCTGTCACAATCTGTCACAATGTCATTGTCTTCAGGGTTTGAGGCTCCTAGTCCGGTTCACACCTCGACTCGAATCGTGCATTCCCTCCCAATGAGCTGATCAAACTGTGACCGCATCCCGCATGAGCTAACAACGTTTGGAAACTTTTTCCAGGACAAGATTCATTGGATTTCATTGGTATCCATTGGTGATATTGAATGATATTGATGCAGAGTGGGCTGGATCTGACCAGCGTTCGTCGCCAATTCGGGCTGTCGGAAAGTTGAGAAAAGTCAGCATCTTGTGCCTGTTTCGCTCAAACGAAGAGAGGCTACCAGTACTGCATGATATGAGGATGGCAAAGGATAATGGAACCATGGTGAATCAAATCACTTCCCATTGTGGAAACATGGGTTTTCTTCAGAGACACGTTGCCTAAGAATCCGAAGGTAACCATTCTTGTACATCAGTCATAAACACGTCTGATACAAAAAGGGAGAAAAGTTTGAACAAAAAATGTTTGCCTATTTAGGTGTGTGAGCGGACGTTTGGACATCAGCAGATGGACCAGATGGAATGATGAATTTTGAAGGTTGAGATCGGTATCCGAGTTCTATGGGGATGACAATGACCGTGCACCTTATCGCTACCATTTCGGGAATCAGCCAGCTGGTTGCGCCGTCGGCACGAGGCACCATGGTGGTTTGGGAGTTGGCATGTAGTAGGCCCTAGCATGCGAGGCTTGGAAATTGAACGCTTTCAAGCCCAAGCTGATATTTGCCAAAATTCCTTCACTATTTTTGTTGCGAACGGATCAGCCCAAAAATGCTTGTATTAGTTCAAGGTGGTGAAGAAGTACATTGAGGCATTACGTGACAGGAATACATGGATACATTATGATACATTTGAGACATATTTGCATCTGCATGCGCTCCGAAACGGATGCGTCACTTTGTTGGGTACGAAGTGTGTTAACACCACTGAGAAGAGACGGGGTACAACATCTTGATTGACTGCATTATTTCAAAGCAATACACCAGTAGATTGCGGGAGTTTGCGGGATTCGTGGATGCAAAGGTTGGGTTTTTCTCGATCAACAGGTCACACGGTGGTGGAAATGTCATGGAAACACGAAGCAACTCACGCAGAGACCTCCCGGCAGGTGCCATCCACGACGCCATGGCCAGTGCCGCTGGCTGTTTGGAGCTGTGGAGACCTCCAAACAGCTGCGGATCTGTGGATCCTGAAACATCACGAAATATCTCGCAATGCAGATATCATCAGATACCCGTCCCAACAGATGCCCTTTTTAGCAGTGGATGAAAATTTGAACATATTTGAACTGTAGTTCTTAGGAACAGGCAACAACTATGCAAGAATGGCAGGCTGCCTGTTCACTGCCACCATCAGAGCGTTGCCAGGCAAATACCGCCAGCGTTTGGCACAGAGCAGCGGTGTCAGCAGCTCGAGGTGAAACTTTGGGAAGTTGTGAGGGGAAACCTTGGGAAACTGTCCAATTTTTTCTGATCTGGTTTGGTTCGCCGCGCATCTTTTGCGCGCATTGCAGCACAGTGACCAGAACAAAAAAGATCGATCTGCTGAAATCTGAAGAACTTGCTGATCTCAAGATTCTGTAGGGAAATCATCACTAAGGCCCACTAGAGCCCACTATGGCCCACTAAACATCTAAGCAGCAGTTGCAGGATCCCTGCTGGGCCGGTGACCTGCCATGACCTACCGATGACCTACCCGTGTCATCCCGTGTCATCCCATGTCTCCAACATCCAACACCAGCCTTGGGCAGGGCCTTTGAGTCAGACATTGGAAAGAAGATTTTGATGAAGTACGGCTGGACGGAAGGTCTTGCAATGCTGTGCAAACAACACTGGCTGTGAGCGGCAGATGTTTCGGTGTTTGAGTTTGGAGCAACTGCGGGTGCCTGTGTGGTGTTACCCCTGTGGGCATTGTGTGCAATCCTGTTACAACATGCACCATTGATACATATTGATACATATTGATACAAGATATACCCAATCGGTCGTGGGACTGCCAGGTCAAGGCTTGGGTCGGCTGAAGAACGGTCGGACGGAGTGTGTACAGGCGCTTGATCATGGGGCAAGTGGATGTACCAGATCAGATGTCAAATGAAAGATTTGAGCTATCTTTGGATAGATTTCGGGTATACAAATGGAAGTACAGGCACTCAGACTGGATGAAGATGTACAATGCACATCAATGTACATAAGCTTTCCCAAATCCATGCCATGTCTTCATGTCTTCTGCACTTCTCCCAGAGCATGTGTTGAAGTCCATGGGTGTCCGATGAGACTAGCAAATAGTCGCTACATACATCCACAGGGAATATCGATATGTTGACTGCGGTGCAATGGGTCCTTCAGAATCCAGAGACCAAATCGGATCAAATCAGATCATATCAGATCTTTGTTATTCTCTCGGTCATCAAGGTTCTCTCAAATTCAGAACACCACCTATCCAACTTCCAGAGCGCCAGGGTGAGAGGCGGGAGGACAAGAAAGGCCTCGGCATTGAGAAACGAAAATCCGAGGCGGGAATCGGACGCCACTCGTGTAGATCTGGTGGATCCTATGGATGACACACATTGATGCAATTTTGAGTTGGCGCCTGTGCCTTTCTAAATGATGGGGTATGGAAGGTCCTCCAAAGCGTCACAAAACTGTTTCAGGTGTTTCTGATTGAGGCTACCTGTAGCCATCCGGCTTGAACTTTGGGGAGAATTCTGTGATCTTCATAACTAGCTGATAGGCCTCTTTCGTCGGATCTTGGTATTGTTTGACTGTGCAAAAAAAGCAACCCATCTGTGACATGTTCAGCCAGAACTTTGGCAAAAGCTTCCAGCTGCCCCGTTTGGGCGCCCAGGAGCAGTGGGACAACTGGTGGGCTGATTGCTTCAACAGCGTGGTCCGGATGCCATGGTGATGGAGATGACCTGTTGCAGAGGATCTCTGTCAGACAGTCAGACATGTCTCTATAACTCAATTACAGTATTTGGGAAGCCTTGTCGTTGTTGCTTGCGTGAACCTACGTGCATCTTCAATTCAGAGCTATCGATCTCTCCATTGTTGTTAATGATGTCCTCGTGAAAGAGTCGTTTCGGAGCTGGCATATCCCTGGGATCCCACATGTGTCATTCATTTGTTGTATACCCCGTCTAGTAGGTAGCTGGTAGCTTGTGCTCCCATGGTTGTCGTTGTTGTTTTTGCCTCGTGCTATGCATTTAAGTCCCAATACCGTTGGTTGGTCGTCCCCTTTGTTGTCAAGTACATCCTATGTTAGTCGTAGGCGGACTTCTCTCCGCTGCTGTTGGCTGTAGTCATAGCAACGATGCAGTTGACTGAATTCAGTTGCTGATGTCAGATTTTCTCTGGGGAGGGGTCAAAACTCGAAACCTATGATATCATATATTAATTTGCGAGGTTGAACATCCACGTATATCCCAATAATATAATCTTTTATGCATCATTTAGCCATTATTTGAGGGGTTGCACATCCATTGCATCCATAGTTTGATGTGAAAAATGCGAAAACATATTAGCAGCGTCGAAAACCTCCAAGCACAGTAAGGGTCTTGTATAAAGGTTAAATTAATTTACTTCCGCGAAAGTAAAAACCTCACGTGCGAAATCTGCGCGAAAGCGCCCGCAAAAGAAGGGTTAAAAGTTCTAACTGCGAAAGCTCGGCGAAAGCTTGAAATAATTGTCAATTATTAGTTTTAACTTATATCCAATTATATTTAATCATTGGTTCTTATTCTTATCCAGTTTCTTTCAAATCCAGAGATTCAGCCTAAAATCTGAGAAAGCTCCGCAAAAGCCAAAGCAGAGCCAGCAAGGCTGGAGCCCCAAAATCTATGACGGATGGCAAGGGCGTCAGAGACGTTGCGAATGTCGGGGGCGTTGCAGGACGTCAGGGACGTTGAGGACGCCAGGGCTGTAGCAGGATGTCAGGAACGTTGCAGGGCGTCAGGGATGTTGCAGGAAATTTCGGACATTCATCCGCGAAAGCTCCGCGAAAGCTCCGCGAAAGCAAACATGATGGACTCAGCATCCGCAAAAGCTAAACGTGTGGTCACGTAAGTACGTGGACAGCTCCGCGAAAGCCACATCGGATTATAACGAATCGCAAAAGGCAAAAGGGTTTTCAACACCGCTTATATGAATGTGAAGGCCAGGTACCGGTCGCACAGGGATTTTGATTCATTATCATCGTCATATTAATATATAATAAAATATATATATAAAATAAAATAATAATATAATATATATATATATCCAATTATCTCCATAGTTCGCCAATAGTTCGCCATTCTCCAGAGTTCTCCAAGGCCAAGTCCATCTCCGTAAAGGCCGAGAGTCGTGCAGAGAGCAGCGATAGCGACGATGAGCCTCAGGCCATTTTGAAACGATATCAGCTACCATGGCCCATCACTGATGGACAAAGCATGATATATATATATATATATTTATTTATTTATATATAAAATATACATATTGATTTATATTTCTTTTTATTATATATTATATTATATATATATATATATACATATTGTGTTTATACACATAATGTGCCTATACTTTGTTTGTACCTATACGTCCACAGTGTCGATATGTATATGACATGATGTGACAATACTGTATGTAGACATACTGGTACATATAGAGATACATTACTCGTACCATGAGATTGCCAGACTATGGATTTACTCTAAAGGTTTCAAGCACGATCAGACCAATGGTTGCGATCCAGTGTATAATCAACTACAATCATGAGCCACGCGGAATTTATCCGTCCGTTGTTTGTGAGATAGATCTAAGCATTGCTATAGGCTACCCCAAATGGGAAGTAAAACCGGCCAAGTGAGTGGCATTGTGACGCTTGCGACAAAGAAATTTGTAACTGAAAACAATTCCGGGATCGATGGACAGAGCCACCAATGATGAGGGATGAACCTCAACAACTTAAACATGAGGATATTCAATGACAATTATGTAGTATTCCAGTGAAGGGCGGATGATAATGAATAATCAAGGCTCTGAGAGTTGATACATGATCCAACTAAGAATTGGCAATAGTTCTATCATGTTTTTCCTTCCATCCTTACTCGCAAAGATACATGTGAACTGGCAACTCAGAGTCAGAGTGCTTGAAGTTTCCAAGGAATCTTAGGGACGATGAGCATGACCTGAGTCCCTGCCGGTGACGGGATAATCTTCGCAATGTAAATTGAACATTGTCATGTTTGGGGTGAAACGGTGAAGCTGCCAGCCAGTATGCCATTGCAGCAATTCAATTTCAGTATGGTACGGTCAGGTTTGGAATCAAGTACAACAATCAGTTGACAGGCCTTTGATCCAAGGCAATCTAGTGCCTTGGTGTCACTGCCGGTATTTTCCGAGCGTTGGATCACGTGGTGGATTTGGAGGATCACCATTTGTTGACACGCTCCTAGTCCATGCATGTGCAATTGTTTTCATTTCTTTCACGGAAATTAGCCGTTTAGGCGTTTACTTATGCAAGATCCTCGACCAACAATCAGGAAGCCAACCACACATTGCATTGTCACAATCCCATGTTTCTATTTTTCCTCCAAGTCCTTCATACATTTTATGAACCAAGAATGGCAATCCCTGGGAAGCCTAGTATCATGCACAAAATCAACCAAGATGCCACAATATCCCTGTATGTATGTGATTACATACATACATACATACGTACGTACATACATACATACATACATACAGACATACATACAGACAGACAGACAGACCGATCGACAGACAGACAGACATAAAATAACATAACATTACATTACATACATTACATACATTACACACATTACACACATTACACACATTACACACATTACACACATTACACACGCTACACACATTACATCCATTACATACATTACACACATTACACACATTACACACATTACACACGTTACACACGTTACACACGTTACACACGTTACACGCGTTACACACGTTACACACGTTACACACGTTACACACGTTACACACCTTACACACATTACACACATTACACACATTACACACATTACACACATTACACACATTACATACATTACAATCATTACATACATTACATACATACATTACATTACATTTTATTACATTACATTACATTACATTACACTACATTACATTACATTACATTACATACATACACACAGACACACATACATACATACATACATCAATTACATCAATTACATAACATAACATCCCATCCCATCCCATGGCATGGCCTGCCATTGCATTGTATTGCATCATTTTACATTACGTACACACACATATCTTTATCAGCCTGTTTGAAGGCACCCAAAGTTCACTCACCTAAACAGGAGCAATGTTGACACCTCCCCAGAGGCCCGACATTCCCTGCCAGGGAAATGCGACTGCTGAAGGCGGGCGCATTACTGCGATCAAAAAAGCAGGAGTTGGGCTCTCAGTAAGCTGTCAGCCGACAAATCAGAGCAAATCCCATCCCATTGTGACTGGACCCAGCACGGACTGCATACCAGTGTGATTTGTATTCCAGGGTGGCTCATGTGATATTTTTTCTCGAAGTCTGTGTCATGTCAGAGCTCTTCAGGCCACAAAACCTCAACTTCGCCAGCACAAGTATATCAAAAAACATCTAAAGTATCGTAAGCTGTTCACACCAGTGTGGCATAGTGGTGACTTGCACAGAGAAATAACAGCAGGAAACTCCTGGTTATTAACGACACCAACCATACAGTCATGCATGAGATAAGTATTTGCAATATGAAGATGATACACACACACATATATATATATATATACATAGTTATATATAATCCCGCTTGGAAATTCCTCTACAGAGTGGTACTTGTTAACCCCCCGAAACAGCTACCATTTTAACATAGATGTTTGGTGATGTGTGTGTGTGTGTTCAGACTGTCATGCACCACCATTCCATACATGTGGAAACAAAGGTTGGCCCGCTATACAATGGCACTACACAGGTGGAAAGAAAGGTCGGCCCTCTATAGAATGGCATTACACAGGTGGGAAGCAAAGGTTGGCCCTCTAAAAAACGGCACTACACAGTATCCTATTGGTAATTTGCTTTTCAGAATTAGCACGTTAAAACGGCGACGGGAAGCCTCCGAAGCATTTTGTTTTCAGAGGTTTCCCGCCTGCAGCTGGGAACACCTCGGCTGAATTCCCAAGGGCATGATGAATGTGGATGCCACTGGATTATATTAATCTCATCCCCAAATATTAAACATTCCCTAAATGGTATGCAACCCTCTATTAAACAGAACAAAACAATGATTTGTGGGGGCGCCTGATATTTGGCGGAAGGGATTGCATATCTTCATGAATAAAATTGTGCCAAACCAATGCAAAATCGCGCAAAACCCACATTTACAAAATGGTACCCTGCACCATAGCCCCTGAAACAAAACAATCTCAAACACCCTGGGGTCACTATAGAGTGGAACCCCTGACCATGCCAAAGAATTGAAGAAGGCCAGAAACTAGGTGGATCTGGGTCATGGGGTTTCATGTTATAGAGGGTATGGGGCCAAAAGCACCCTTAAGTGATTTGGTCAAGGGCACCATTCTATAGACTTGACCTGTTAGTTTGTGAGACACTTGATGGTGGTTGGGAACTCCATTCTATAGAACGCCATGTGCTGACAGGGGTTGGGCGAACCATTTAGCGCTCTAAAATGGTACCCCTTGACGGTCCAACTCACTTCCAAGGGGTATTAGATAGATAGATAGATAGATAGGATAGATAGGATAGATTGGATAGATTGGATAGATGGGGTTAGATTGGGTTCGATTAGATAGATAGATAATTAATAGATAGATAATTAATAGATAGATAATTAATAGATAGATAATTAATAGATAGATAATTAATAGATAGATAATTAATAGATAGATAATTAATAGATATATAATTAATAGATAGATAATTAATAGATAGATAGATAGATAGGATAGATAGATAGATAGGATAGATAGGATAGATAGGATAGATTGGATAGATTGGATAGATTGGATAGATTGGATAGATTGGATAGATTGGATAGATTGGATAGATTGGATAGATTGGATTGATAGATTGGATAGATTGGATAGATTAGATAGATTAGATAGATTAGATAGATTAGATAGATTAGATAGATTAGATAGATTGGATAGATTGGATAGACTGGATAGATTGGATAGATTGGATAGATTGGGTTAGATTAGATAGATAGATAATTAATAGATAGATAATTAATAGATAGATAATTAATAGATAGATAATTAATAGATAGATAATTAATAGATAGATAGATAGATAGATAATTAATAGATAGATAGATAGATAGATAATTAATAGATGGATAGATAGATAGATAGATAATTAATTAATAGATAGGTAGATAGATAGGTAGATAGGTAGATAGGTAGATAGATAGATAGATAGATAATAATAGATAGATAGATAATTAATAGATAGGTAGATAATTAATAGATAGATAGTTAATTAGTAGATAGATAGATAATTAATAGATAGATAGATAATTAATAGACAGATAGATAATTAATAGATAGGTAGACAATTAATAGAAAGATAGACAATTAATAGATAGATAAATAATTAATAGATAGATAGATAACTAATAGATAGATAGATAATTAATATATAGATAGGTAATTAACAGATAGATAGATAGATAGATAGATGGATAAGTAGATAATTGATAGATAGACAGAAAAATAATAGATAGATTGATTGATTGATTGATTGATTGATTAGATAGATTAGATAGATTAGATAGATTAGATAGATTAGATAGAGATAGGCTAGATAGGCTAGATAGGCTAGATAGATAGGATAGATTAGATAGATTAGATAGATTAGATAGATTAGATAGATTAGATAGATTAGATAGATTAGATAGATTAGATAGATTAGATAGATTAGATAGATTAGATGGATTAGATGGATTAGATGGATTAGATGGATTAGATGGATTAGATGGATTAGATGGATTAGATGGATTAGATGGATTAGATGGATTAGATAGATTAGATAGATTAGATAGATTAGAAAGATTAGATAGATAGGTAGATAGATAGATAGATAGATAATCACGAAAGGTAGCTCCAGAGGGGCTACCTTGAGTTTTACTTTACGAAGTAAAGGGGAGGGCGGCCAGCCCCGTTACCTGATTCTTCAGGAGATTGCTAGTTATTTTAGTACCCCCCTCCCCCCCCCCTCCACACCTCCCACGCACCCTAAGAGCAGACTCAAAATACTGTAATTTACAGTATTTTTGTTCTTTTCGGATCAAGAAACCACATTTTGTTACATGGTGAAACCTCCGTAAATACCAGTGTTTTTGCTAGGTGCTGGCCAAAAAACACTGTAAATACCGTGCTTTTTACTACCAGAGGCAAAAAACATCGTAAATACCGTGGTTTTGGGCTTCCGACCCGCCAAAAACATTGGTATTTACGGTGTTTTTTGCTCCGAGCGATGCAAAAACACGCGAAAACACCACCGATTTGACGATTTTCGGCCACTACGGAACCGAGCAAAAACGCTGCAGGGGTAACACCAACACCGACAAGAACAACACCAACAGCAACAGCAACAGCAACAACAACAACAACAACAACAACACCAACACCAACACACAACGCACAACGCACAACGCACAAAGCACAACGCACAACGCACAACGCACAACGCACATCACACAACACACAAAACACAAGCATAGCACAACAACATACCCAAACCAACCAATCACACAACAAAACCCACAACAACACACAAAAAAATCACAATACAAACTAAAACAAAGCAAAACAACACAACAACCACACCCAACAACACACAAAAACACACAACACCACCCACACACAACACAACAGCACACAAAGCACTACAAAAAACACAAGAAACAACACCCTACAACGCCAAAACAAAACCACAAGCAACACACAACAACACATAACAACACACCACAACGCACAACAACACACCACAACACACAACACACCACAACAACCACAACAACCACAACAACCACAACAACCACAACAACTACAACAACAACGAATGACAACAATAACAACAACAACACACAACAACACACAACAAAACACAACAACACACAACAACAAACAACAACACACAACAACACACAACAACACACAACAACACACAACAACACACAACAACACACACAACAACACACAACAACACACACACAACAACACACAACAACACACAACAACAAACAACAACACACAACAACACACAACAACACACAACAACACACAACAACACACAATACACAAAAACACACAACAACACACAACAACACACACAACAACACACAACAACACACCACAACACACCACAACACACACAACAACACACAACAACACACAACAACACACAACAACACACCACAACACACCACAACACACCACAACACACCACAACACACCACAACACACAATAACACACAACAACACAACAACAACAACAACAACATCAACAACAACAACAACACCAGCAGCTGCAACAACAATAACAGCAACAACAACAACAACAACACGAACACAAACAATACCAACACCAACAACACGACCAACAACACCAACACCACCAACAAACCCAACCACACCAACAACACTAACAACACCAGAAACACTACCACCACCAACAACACCAATACCAACAACACCAACAACACCAACACCACCAGCACCACCAACACCACCAACACCACAACCGCCACCAACCCCAACCACATCGCCGAAGCCTTTCAGTCGCTTTTACCAGACTCCCCTTCATATTTTTGCAAAGAAACTGGCCGCGTCGCTTTTACCAGACTCCACTTTATGTTTTTTTCCCTGCCCTCTCCCCTTCATTTTTTCTTCGGTTCCTTTCTTGCTTACCTACCTTTCGTGTTCCCCCTCTCAAGTTAGATTAGATTAGATTAGATAGATAGATTAGATAGATAGATTAGATAGAGTAGATAGATTAGATAGATTAGATAGATTAGATAGATTAGATAGATGAGATAGATTAGATAGATTAGATAGATTAGATCGATTAGATAGATTAGATAGATAGATAGATTAGATCGATTAGATAGATTAGATAGATTAGATCGATTAGATCGATTAGATCGATTAGATAGATTAGATAGATTAGATAGATTAGATAGATTAGATAGATTAGATAGATTAGATAGATTAGATAGATTAGATAGATTAGATAGATTAGATAGATAGATAGATAGATAGATAGATAGATAGATAGATAGATAGATAGACAGATAGACAGATAGATAGATAGATAGGTAGGTAGGTAGGTAGATAGATAGATTGGATAGATTAGATAAATTAGATAGATTAGATAGATTAGATAGATTAGATAGATTAGATAGATTAGATAGATTAGATAGATTAGATAGATTAGATAGATTAGATAGATTAGATAGATTAGATAGATTAGATAGATTAGATAGATTAGATAGATTAGATAGATTAGATGGATTAGATGGATTAGATCGATTAGATGGATTAGATGGATTAGATGGATTAGATGGATTAGATGGATTAGATTAGATTAGATTAGAGTAGAGTAGATTAGATTAGATTAGATGGATTAGATTAGATTAGATTAGAGTAGAGTAGATTAGATTAGATTAGATAGATAGATAGCTAGGTAGACAGATAGATGGATAGAGACACTTGGACGTGTACACTGCCGATGCATGCGTATTTACACAGCTTGCACACTCAGATTGGATCATATAGCGCGATGCGGTAACCCGGTATCCGTCCAGTGTTGGAAATCTGTGCTTAGGCCATGAAAGGTAAGCTTCGGCGCGTGTTGCGCCAGGAGAGTGACGCGGCCAAAATTACAGGTGATTTGTGAAAAGAACAATGCATCGCGATATCTACAAGATATTGATTCTACTCACAAAAATGCTGCTGGAAACACAGTTGGATTCATAGTGTTCCAACAGAGCTGTGGACCAGTTCTTTTCGCACAGCTTTAGAACTACCGCATGATTCGAGTTTGGCTCAAGAGACAACAAACCAGAGAGGAAGGGCCATTTGGAGCAGTTTAGCCATGACCATTGTGCGCGTGCTTGCTACATTCGCGGTGGGAATGCAACTTGTGCTCAAGCAGAGGATCCGGTTTGGTAGGGTTCTTTCAGGGTCAGGTGAGGCCTGGTACGTGATTATTTCATATGGGTTTGTTGCAAGGTGTTTTGATCCAATGTTCATGATCTTCGTTGCTCATTGTTTTTCTTTTTTTCAAGATGCGAGGATTCCCAGTCGGATCCTATATTTTATCGCTGCTCCATCTGAAATTGGGACTGGACCGACTGGACCTAAGGCCCTTGCTCTCATTGATGGGCTGCAGCTCTGGGAGTTCGCCGCTCTGGAAAAATGATGGCACCCCGAAAATCGGTGGGGAACAAAAAGTGGTTGCATTATGTTGCATTAACACCAAAATGGCTATAAGAGATGGGTCTATAGACAATCAAGCATGTATTGCTGACATCTAATAAGCAAGGTGTCCATTTTGATGAAGGATCTATCATCGTTTCCCTACCATTTCCCTTTGGGTTTCAGATATTGTAGGCTGTCATATCCACATGGACTTCATCGCATCACTCAACCAGAAATAATATGAAATAATCCTCGTGAGCTTTGTTCGCACTCCCCATCCGTGAATACCAAAGAGAACCAAGTCTTTCCCTGGGGTTCCACGTCAAAACACGCCAACCAAGGGACAAGAGCGAGTGCGGCATCTTGGCGGACATGGCTCCGTCGAGCCACAGCGTTGGTTATCTTACAATGCAGGAAGAAACACCACTGTAGAAGGACCGCCATTGGTCGTTGGAAAGCATGATTCCGAGCCTGCTAGAATATTATACAGTAATATAATGGATATAATATACTAATATACGTATGTGTATATATATATATGTGAGCGTGGGAAAGTCCCAACGCCAGGGCAAGTTGCACGGTTTGAACAGGGTGCAAACAGCAGGTATCAGAATGTTCATGCTGCAATTTTCTTGCAGCAACGTCTTAGTTGTGAATCCCAAAATCAATAGGATTCTAGCTGCTAGAAATTCAGATCATGTATATAGATTTATCTGTGTGGATTTGTTTCATCATTTCTTCATTCCTTTCATCCGAGAACCGTCAAGACCCATCAAGACTTCCTTCCCTGGCCCTGGCTCCTCGCGGCTTTGCATTGAGATGTTTTGGGCGGCGGTATAATGGAGGCCGCAGTGAAGTTTTGCAACGGAAGCTTGGCGCAGGTCATGGTTCGATGAGATCTGTATGGACGGTGTTTACGACAGTTGCGTACCTTTGTTACGACGATGTTTATGCGGATGTTTATGCCTTGTTTGTTGATGTTGCTGTGCCTTCCAAGTCGAGCGTTTTTGTCAGTACAGATTGAAACCCCTATGGCCCATCGTGTGTCGGATATGTTTCAGTGCTTTTGATAGTTTCAAGATGTTCCTGGAGCAATCTGAGGAAGCGACCCGAAACTCCTGCCAACGCCAAGCGCGGCGTTTCAGTTTGTGCCTTTGCTTACAACAGGGTCCCTTTTCTGGCTTAGAGCCATACAGGGCCATACACGTTGAATTTTTCTTTTATTGGTAGATTGGTTCACCATACACCCCGCTCAGAGCTAAACTGTTGGCAAGTCACCAAGCCGCAAAGTTTTGCTTCCGCCGTGGTAGTTTGCCTTCAGCAAGATCATCGTCACCTCAAAAAATCGGAAAGTTCAAAGACCAGCTGATTGTATCTGATTGTGTTGTTTTGCGCTGCTCAGCACTAACCAGTTGCGGAATAACTATAAAATCTATAAATAACATTAAATAACTAGTTTCATTGCTTGCACCTCAGTTTCATATCCTAAGGGTTTCTCATTCTGGAGCCAGCATGCAATGTGTGATCATGGAGGCTCTGCGGCAGTGAGTTGCCATGAGTTGCCCAAAGCATTCGTCCTATTGACACCGGATCAGTTTTCGTTTTTTGCCCACGGCTCAGCATATCCTATAAGGAATTGAGATTATTTAGACAGTGCTCACTTTACCATTCGGTGTGTTTCCAATGAGATCAATGTGTTTCTGAACTGTCCGTACCTCCGATCATTGATGGGTTCAGGTGCCCCCAGTCAAAGAATATAACTTGCTCCGGTCATTTGGTGACAATTAGCAACCAGCTGCTAGTGAAGCCAAGTCCCGGCGCACCTAGCTTTCAAACAAACCTCAAACCAAGAAGCACAACGCTCTCAGAAAAAAAAAAACAATGTGGATACAGCTCCGTATGACCTACCCCCAAAACAGATGCTTCAATGCCAAAACACGAGACAATCTGTAGCTCTACAGTTTGACTAGATTTTGGATATTTTGGCCCTTCTTGGGATGCATAGGTGGTGCTCAACGGTGAGTTAGCCGAAATGAGCTTGAATCTTTCAACGTTTCTCGCCTGCGTTTTCAAGGATATGGGTACCTGGTGAAGTGGATTGGACATCTTTGTTATAATTTTCCAAGCGACATAATATATGTATTTATGTAATTTATATACAAATACCCATATATAATATATATATAATATATATATAATTATATATATGTGTTTGTGCGTATATATGCATGTATTTACCTACACAACAGACACAACAGATGACAATAGAAACATGACTCGGAGATAATTGCGGAGCAGTAGATATAGAGATTCTGTATCCTGACATATTTTCTCACCATATCCTGTATTTTTGGGCACATTGTCACGGGCACTTCCGGTGTTGCGCCAGATTGCCTTGCGTTCATGGATTCAATAATTTGCTGAGAAAAGTAGCCATCCACATGGTTCCAATTGTCGATTTCATTTCTTTGATCGGCTTCACACGCCGTTGAACTAATTTGCTGAACTCATTTTCGGTGATGCTTTCGGCGCCCTAAGACATACCGATTTGTCCAATGGAGTGTGTTCTTCAGACTGTTGAATTCACGTGTTCAAATTTGTAACTGACCCATTAACACGAATGATGACCCATTCCTTTTCTCGAAGATGTGCTGCAAGAGCTTCGAAATTTAAGCGCATAAAAGTGTCTATCAGGCATAAAGTGTGTCCAATGCTACGAGGTCAGCAGCATACAAGACCAAAGACAAATCAGCCTTTGCCGCTCGACATGGCCAGTCGTGCCCAAGGGGCCCCTGTGGCAAGTAACATTTCATGGCATGGAAAGCAAATGGAATGATTGACGGCTTCCTACCTGTTCCATCATGTAGAGTAGAGATGAGTAGAGCTCATGTAGTTCAGGATCTGGGCCTGCTATAGCCTGCTATAGCCTGCTATAGCCTGCTAGTGTGATACCGAGAATCCATGAGAATCCGCTATCGACACTGCTGCATTCTGTCGCCTTTCAGAAACTCTTGAAGCACTGAGACAGTTGCTGAGAAGAATTGGACCTTTGTTCACCTGGACCCATTGGATGGCACAAGCGGCAGATCCATCTGCGTCAAGACGATGCTTGAACGGCACGTCGTATGACATCTGATTCATAAATGAATAGATAAATAAATGAATAAGCATGTATGTATATATATATATAGATGTATATATATGAGGAGGGGTAGGGGGGACCCAGACCCTTTAACATATGTATTAAGATTGTGTTTAAAGGCACCCTAACACATCAGATATTTGGCATGAGTTTGGGAACTGGGCTACACGGATAGATGCTTGTTGCTGGTGAGCATCGGTAAATTTTGAAACAACGTATTCACGGCCATGCCTTCAAAGCCAAAAAACAATGTTGCGCAGCCAAGAAATTAATAGGGCAACATCCTATCATTCTTGGAGAAGTTTGACCCTGCAAAGCTGAAGTGATCTGGAATTGATTTAGACACGTGTGTCACAGCACACAGCACTAAGGGATGCGAAGAAGGCAATTGTGATCAGAGACGATTTCTCCTGCCCAAGCTGCGCGCACAACGATGATACGGCGAACGTTTGGATGTTGCATCTCAGCCCCAGAAGACCGTGATAGATCGTGATAGACAGTGATAGATCGTGAAAAGGTGGCACACCTACAGGACTGGTACTGTATGGGTTGATTACAGTTGGTTCATGTTGGCTCCAAAATGATGGCTATTCAATGCTATTCGAGTGTTGACTTAAACAAGGACTTCCATATCGTCAGATGCAATTGCCCGAGGGATGAGCAAGATGGATTTGTGAGATTCAAACCAGCAGCCACTACACAGCGGAGAGTGTAAGCATGTGGAAGATGGCTTGAAGCCGCCAGAGGTAGGTGGTCATGGGTTTTATCTGGTCCTGACTGGCTCTGCAGGTCAAATCTGAAATAGACTACCTTTGCAAGCATAAATTATTGGCACAAGTTATCCCAGCGCAAGGCTGAAAATGTAGAAACCCAAGCCGGGTGATTTCAGGACAGTTTTCACATAGCCTACACGCGTAAATAAACCGTAGACATACTTCATTTGTTTTTATATATTTTTTGGGATGTTTTTTGGATTTTTTCAGTCTGGGGCCTGCCAGCCCCCAAAACACAAACTGTATGGTCTCGCTTCCGAAACGGCAAAACACAACCTAATTTCGTGCCCAAGACAAATTGTTTTCAACTTTATCCAGCTGTTTGCCCCATCTTGCAGCCTGCCAGCCCCCAAAGCACACGCTGTATGGCTTTGTGACGCCTTTGAAACGGCACAACGCCATCACTTTTTTGTTGTTGTTGCTGTTGTTGCTGTGGCTATTGCTGTGGCTATTGCTGTTGCTGTTGCTATTTCTGTTGCTGCTGTTGCTGTTGTTGCTTTTGTTGCTGTTGTTGCTGTTGCTATTGCTGTTGCTCTTGCTGCTGTTGTTGTTGTTGCTGCTGTTGCACAAACAGAACCTGTAATCCTTGACGCGCTCCCCCTTGCATCAGCCGGGATCGGCGGATTATCGGCGTATACACTTATTCTATGACGTGCAGATAAGGTAGACGCACTTATCTGGTATTTCGGATTCCCAAGCTGTGATTCAGAACGTCGATGTGTGGTAGAGTCAGCCATACTGGTTTGCAGAATCGTATTCCGCTTCAAGTCGAAGACGGTGGAAGTCTCATACTTCCGTAAACCTGTGGCCGTGGAAGTTGTTTGCTGAAAAAGCTGCCAGAGAAGGACCGGGCGCCTAATTTCCTTTTTCCCTTAAAAAGTGGTTTTGCGGCAAAGTCCTGATGTTCGGTCGCCTCCCCAGGGGTATTTCCAGCACTATGAGTCTTTCGCCCTGTCACCTGGATGCTGTTCGGAAGCCGCTTGGCGCTGCATTATCGCTGATGGTTAAGGTTCAGATGAATCAAAAGCCTCCCATCGAAAACCCTGTGGGTGAAGGATGAAAAACGTACCCATGGAACTACCATGAAATAGCTATATTGAAATGGAGGGACGGAACTGTGTGTGCTTCATTTTAGACACAGGTTGATGGCGTCATTGTTGACTACCTCGATTCTTTGGCTGTTGGTGGTTTCATGATGTCTATCTTGCATATTTTGCCATCCGAGCCGCCAATTTAGCGATGATTCCAAAGGGTTTTATGATGATTATGTTTTCAGGAGGACAAACAAAAGAGATAAGTTCAATGCCAATATGACCTCAACATGACCGCTGTAACCAGAAAACTTGCTGGCTCGGAGGACGGGAAGTATTACCGCACTTGCAGTTTTACTGTAGATGATTCCATGCAAGTCATCCTGAGTCATCCTGAAGTATTCGAAGAAAGTCTGGTTCAGCACACCATGTGAAGTTCGAAACTGTAAAATGGATCGGTATCCCCAAGTGTTTTCTCCAAGCGAATTGTCAATGAGATCACTGACAGCGCTCATAGTGTGAAGGAATCGTTCCAAATCCAAAGTTTTTCTTAATAGAGATTCAAGAATTTGCAGCATACAAGTGTGGTGCGGTGCGTGGGTCGCCTAGGTCCCCTGTGGCTGTGGCTTTGAAGAATAACTCTACGGAGAATCTGATGCTGGCATGACCTTGCAATCGATGTTTGGTCGAATGATGTGTGGTCGAAGACCATGCATCTTGCGCTGTGCCCAATAGCTCTTCTGAGATGTCCTGGTGATGCCCTGGGATGTTTGGAACCTCACACGGCCATGTCCCAACATAGTGGGCAGAGTGGGAACTGTGAACTACAAAAAGACATGGTTCACACAGCAAAACAGGTAGCTGAAAGTCGGAGGCAGACCAACAAAGACCAACAAAGACTAATAAGAAAATAACAGGAAAATAATAAGATGTCATCTCGGAAAAGAGCTGTGCACTATTTTGAGGTGCGGCATTTTTTGCTTCAGCCACTGGCCTCACGCTGGCAGTTTCTTGAGGACACCAACTTCAGAATGAACTCATGGCCCCATCAATAATTCACACGACCACGTTAATTGGTAAACGGCCATTTGACAACCATTGCTGTGCTTAAAGCTCCTCTTCCCGATAGCATGGCGGTGCTCGTTCCAATAATTGTAAAAGCTTTAAGCTTTTGTTGATGTGTGCAAGCTGCAAAATCGCCAGTCCTGGCTATGTCCCCTGCGAGTTTCTCTTGTTTGTGCGCAAACTCTTTCAAGCGGAGCTCTCGCATAGTGCGTGCCACGCCCCTGCATCCTGGACTTGTGGAATCCAGAAAACTCACAAGCTTTGTGATATTTCGACAAAAAGTCACGGAAGTTTCCTCGGATTGGGTGGTATTGGGTGGTTGATGATGGCTTGGAACATGGAACCCCACAGATCCCACACTTGATGGGCCAAGTGGAAAAGGCATCAGGGTCCATATGCAGGGACTCTCAAACAGCCATTTTTTGATGCCAGCATTGAAATGCAATAAACATCTATATACACTTGGAAATGGTCATATCCATATATAAACATGATCGAAATTGCTCAACCGATAAGCTGATTTCGCACAAACCATGGGATTCAAAGCCTGTTCTGCTTTCACTTCCAGGTGCCAACCACACCAGTCAAACAGCAAGCCGGCGAAGATGAAAACATTCGGTTTCAATTGAGATATTCCAAATTCAAATGTATTTAATTGATTTTAATTGTGTTTAGGTATTCCCATGGTGTTTGCGAAAGACTTGGTTCAGGAAAGGATGATGGTCCATATCAAGACCTCTCAGCCTCTCACAATAAGAGTTGCAAAGAGGAATTCGGCGTTGCAGTACTTATCCATTGGTTTTAGCACGCTCTGATGGCCTGGCATTTGCACAAGTTGTCATAGTGGGTCATTGATCACCACCACGATCACTACAGTTGCCATCAGCTCAACTGATTAAACTGGTGTTGAATCGTGTTGAATCGTGTTGAATTAGGGCTAACTTAGGGCTCCTGATCGCGTATATTCAAAGCCATGCTGACAAATTGCTGGACAGCCATACTATGCTGGAAAAGTGTTCAACATCCAACTGACCCTTCCACCCTGACTTCCTTTGACTGAGGCACCAACAACTGAAACTGGAACACGGCGGCCATGGGTTGAGACGTTGGCCATGCAGAACTGGATGCTGTGAACACTGGCCTCAGAGCCCTGGTGCTGCAACTGTACCATGCAAAGCTTCGAATCTTAGCTCAACCCGGGCAGCCGCGAGAACGCCTAGTAGGGCTCTCCTTCGTTGCGGGGAGGCACCTGCGGGCCCCGTCTCACAGAGGAACAGGTGGAAGAACTTTGGCACCGGGTGAGTGACATGGTGAATCACTGAGGTGCGGAATATTGTGGGATGTTTCGGAAATATTTCATGTGTTTAATGCTGGCAACCCTGAATAAACCTGGAAAGAAGACAACTTGCTGACATGTTGGATGAACTTTCTCTTCACGACGCACTAGTCCTACACGCACAAGCCAATCGACGTGGCCGGGTTCTTTTTGCACTTTCTTTGCCTCGTCATATCGTTGAAACAAAGCTTTGTCATATGTCACTCTGCAATGATCATCTGTGTGACCTGTTTCCAGTTTGGAAACGGAACCCACCGGTGGCATCCCGGAAGCCAAAATTCCTCCGAGCTGGTCCTGTAGGAGTGGTGAATGCGCACAGGGCAACGCGGCAGTGTGAATTCACATGCGGGGTCGATCGTCAGAGGCCTAGGGGTTTTGTTCCCCACCTGCCAGGTGAGGGTTGTTAGATTTTATGTCAGTTGCCTGGTCCTCCTCGTCCTCCTCGTCCTCCTCCTTCTCCTCCTCCTCCTCTCGTTGTCCTCCTCTCGTTGTCCTCCTCTCGTTGTCCTCCTCGTCCTCCTGCTCAACTGCGACTCGCGATCCACAGTGTTCTCTGCCGGACCTCAACCACGACCATCCACGCCCAGTGTTCCCTGCCGGACCTCAACCACGACCAGCCACGCCCAGTGTTCCCTGCCGGACCTCAACCACGACCAGCCACGCCCAGTGTTCCCTGCCGGACCTCAACCACGACCATCCACGCCCAGTGTTCCCTGCCGGACCTCAACCGCGAGTATCCACGCCAAGTGTTCCCTGCCGGACCTCATGTAGGAAGAAAAAATGTCAGATAGAGTGCCAGAAGATTTGCCAGGTAGAATGCCAGAAAATATGCCAGAAGATATGCCA